AGGGGGGAACCTAGTAAACATAATGTTCCTCATGTAATTGTAGATTAATGATACCAAAATAATAAAAAAATAATAAATATAAATATATGTCTGTATATATATATATATATATATATACACACATATACGTATATATATATATACAGCTTCCACTGAGGGTCATTTATTCCTTTATCCACTCTGTCATTTAGCAGCCATGCATGAATGTCTCTTGTGTGCCTGGCCCAGTGCTAAGGGATAATAAGGTGCAAGACAAACTCTCCGTCCTCCACGAAGGGCTGGTCAGCATTGAACAAGTCATTCCAAGTGCGTTCACTTAATGACAGTCTCAGGTGCTAATGGAAATCTTTGTACAGTGGTCGGTCTGGGGGAGCCCTAACCTACCTAGGGGCAACTGCTCCGTGAATCTGAGACCCGAAGCCTAGGCCATGTGAAGGAGTCCAGTAGAATTCGTGTGCTATGATGGACTTTTTCCTTGAGTCAATTTTTTTTAATTTACACATCCCCATGGTAAGATTTCTAACAGTGTACAATGTTACACAGCAAATGCAAGACTCACCCCATCCGTCTCTTCTGACCTTACCCGTCCTGTCCTTTTGTTACAAGGCCTTGTGTATCCCTGCAGTCACAGTCCATTTGTATCCAGTATCCATATTTTTCTCCCACTTAAGAACAATTTTCTTTTCAAATGGGATCATACCACATTCTAAGTTCTTGGCCTGGGATGATTTGGCACCTCCCCCCAACCCAGGGAACATGTGGCAATGTCTGGAGACTTTTCTGATTATTTTATCTGAGCAGAGGGGGTGCTGCTGGCTTATAATGAGTGGAGGCCGGGGACACCACTACACATCTTACAGCGCACAGGACAGTCCCCACAACAGAGAACTGCCTGGTCCAAAATGTCACTAGTGCCAAGGCTGAGAAACCCTACCCTATGTATATACACTGTGTCTGCAGCTTGCTTTTATATGTGTATATATGATTATTCATGGCAGTATCTGTAGACCCACCTCCATCATTTTTTATTTAGGTGTTTGCCATCTTTTGCTATTGCAAGATAGCTTTTGTTATTTCAACTGTAAGGAATATCCTTTTCCACATACATGCCTTTGAGTTACGTGTAAGATAAAGGACAAATTGATAGAGGTAGGATGGATGAATCAAAGGGTTCATTACATTCTAAATGACCTGATTTCAACTCTGTTTGGGGCATAGTTCATTGGGAGAGTGGGCCTGGGGTTCTGGCTGCTAAGCAGGACCTGATCCACCTAAGTCTGGTGGAAAAACTCCTCTCTGTTCCTCATCTACACACAAGGGTGTCCTGACCGCCCATCTTTCTGCAGGACAAGGGTGTCCCCCACCTGAAGACAGCGAGTGATGCCCCTGAGCTGAGTGCCCACAGCCCCACCCTTCCCCATGGAGAAAGCACCTACTTTATCCCAGGACTGCCGGGACTTTCTGCACAGTCTGAGGATGAAGAGCAAATATGCCCTTTTCCTGGCTTTTGTGGTGGTGGTTTTTGTCTTCATTGAAAAGGAAAATAAAATCATATCAAGGTGAGGGATGCAAGTTCAAGTCCTCCATATCAAGGTGGGATGGGTGGAGCAGGTTGTAGTAGGACTGTCTGTGAACCTCCAGAGGCAATCCTTCTACTAACTAGTAGTCATGCCCAGGAAGTGGGTCATGCCCACGTTCTTAGCACTGCACCAGACCTGGGCTCTGGACTCAGGCAACCTGGGTTGGAATCCTGATTCTGGCCCTTTCTAGCCATGACAACTTAGGCAAATTACATCACTTTTCTGTCTAAGTTCCTCTTCTGTAAAGTGTGGCTAATGATGGGGCCTGCTTTGTGGTAAAGATTAAATGAGAACATGTAAAAGCATTTAGCCCAGTGCATGTCACATAGTTAGCACTCAGTACTTGCCAGTTAATTGTTATTAATACATTTCCTGGCCTAAGATGATGCCCTGCATTAATAAGCACACACCCTATGCCATTCTGAAGTCATGGAGGAGGGTGAGCATATGGAAAGGCAGAGTCCTGCTACAGATATCCAAGTGGGCAGGGCTGTCCTGTGCAGCTCTCCAGGTTGTGTATTGCTCAGTTCTAGGGGGTGTGCACTCACATAGGCTACACCGGGAATGCTGCCCCCTAGAGTTGGCAGTGTACCACTGTGTGCAGTGACCCTGCTGGTGGACCTACCTGCTAGACAGAAAAAATTTCTTAGTTCTGCTCTCCCTGCAAGAAAGCATCAGCCAAGATGGATAGGTTAGGAATTGGGCAATGTAGCAGGCACTGTGCCAGCACCCCACCTGGGTTCCTCAGCATGCACTGTTCCAGTTCGTGCCTACAGGGCCTTATTGCAAGCCCCTGCAACTCTCCACCAAAGAGCTTCCTCTTCATCTGCACACTGAGAAGCCAGATATACCAGGGAGTGAATGGCTCCCTGGGAGCAACACTCAGCCAAGCCCAGCTGAGAGTATCACACCCCTTGGGCAAGAGAATCCTGAAGTCTGTTCTACACTTTCCCAGAATTCTCCAGTTGGATTGCTTTGCCCACAGTGGGGTAGCCTGCTCACCCTTTATGGGCTTGTTTTCTTTCCTGCCTCACTTCCCTACCCCTCTCCCAATCCCTTCTCTCATCATGCCCCAAATAAACTACTTACACTCAAATGCTGCCCCTGGGGAAACCCAACTAAGCCAGGCTTTGGGTGATCGCCCTAGGAGGCTGCTCAGGGTTACACAGCGGATAGAGTCCCCTATCAGTCACTTACCCAGATCTCCCTTTGTCCTCACAGGGTCTCAGACAAACTGAAACAGATCCCACAATCCCTGGTAGATGCCAACAGCACCGACCCAGCCCTGGTCTTGGCTGAGAATGCATCCCTCTTGTCCCTGAGTGAGCTTGATTCAGCCTTCACGCAGCTGCAGAGCCGCCTGCGAAACCTCAGTCTGCAGCTGGGTGTGGAGCCAGCGGAGGAGGCCGAGCCGGATGAAGAGGGGGACCAGGAGCAACCACCGCGACCCTTTGAGTCCCCGCGCCGGCGCCACGTACTCCTCATGGCCACCACCCGCACCGGCTCCTCGTTCGTGGGCGAGTTCTTCAACCAGCAGGGAAACATCTTCTACCTCTTCGAGCCTCTGTGGCACATTGAGCGCACGGTGTCCTTTGAGCCAGGAGGTGCCAATGCCGCGGGCTCCGCGCTTGTCTACCGTGACGTGCTCAAGCAGCTCTTCCTGTGCGACCTGTACGTCCTGGAGCATTTCATCAGCCCCCTGCCCGAGGACCACCTGACCCAGTTCATGTTCCGCCGGGGCTCCAGCCGCTCCCTCTGCGAGGACCCGGTCTGCACACCCTTCGTCAAAAAGGTCTTTGAGAAGTACCACTGCAAGAACCGCCGCTGTGGTCCCCTCAACGTGACGCTGGCCGCCGAGGCCTGCCGCCGCAAGGAGCACATGGCGCTCAAGGCCGTCCGCATCCGGCAGCTGGAGTTCCTGCAGCCGCTGGCCGAGGACCCCCGGCTGGACCTGCGCGTCATCCAGCTGGTGCGCGACCCCCGGGCCGTGCTGGCCTCCCGCATGGTGGCCTTCGCCGGCAAGTACGAGACCTGGAAGAAGTGGCTGGCCGAGGGCCAGGAGCAGCTGAGAGAAGAGGAGGTGCAGCGGCTCAGGGGCAACTGTGAGAGCATCCGCCTATCGGCCGAGCTGGGCCTGAGGCAGCCGGCCTGGCTGCAGGGCCGCTACATGCTGGTGCGCTACGAGGACGTGGCGCGCAGGCCCCTGCAGAAGGCCCGCGAGATGTACCGCTTTGCAGGCATACCCCTGACCCCGCAAGTGGAGGACTGGATCCAAAAGAACACACAGGCGGCCCGTGATAGCAGCGGCATCTACTCCACCCAGAAGAACTCCTCGGAGCAGTTCGAGAAGTGGCGCTTCAGCATGCCCTTCAAGCTGGCTCAGGTGGTGCAGGCCGCCTGCGGCCCCGCCATGCACCTCTTCGGCTACAAGCTGGTGGGGGATGCCACCTCCCTCACCAACCGCTCTGTTAGCCTGCTGGAGGAGCGTGGAACCTTCTGGGTCACGTAAAGGACCTGGGGCCACTGTGCACCCCTCCTCAGGGAAGCCCCGCCCTGCCTTCCTCACCCCCAGGGCCAGCGGTGAGACGGCGCACGCGCAGAGGGCCGGCCGGAAGCCTGGCAGTGAGTTGGCACCCCCTCCGCTGTAGAAATAGGCCCAAGCCAGCTAGCGTTCCCACTGCAACGAGGGCCCAGGGCATCTTGCTGGGAACAGGACAGTGCCCGGCCCTCTTAAGGGTCGGCAAACCCAGACCCCAGGGCCTGAGGTCTGAGCTGGCCCACACAGGCCCGGACCTATTGACGAGTCTTTCATTTGCTCTCTCCTGCGCACACGCGCGCACACACACACACACAAAACACATAAATGCCCCTAGACCCTGTGGGCCAAAGTCCAAATATTTAACAACCAGAAGGGGCTGTGGGCACTGACCAGGCGCAGTTGGACCTCCTGCTGTAGTCAGTGTTAACCTTTCAGTTGTTAGACTTCTACACAAACCAGTGTGGAATATGGGTGGGTTGCTGGGAAGGGGCTGGGACAGCCCAAAGTATCAGAGGAGGGTAACTGGGGTTTACCAACCAAGAATGATTCAATATTTTCGTAAATGGACTAGCTGTGCTGGTTAGTGATGAAATCAGCCCTGTATAGAGCTATAGCACCCATATGTAAAGACAAATGCCTACATACCACATTAGACAGAAAAACAGAAAAGCTCAAATCCATACAAACACACACATATATAGGCGAGCTTTCCCATTGCTTTATGCTCACAGGGTTTATCTGTATCACTCACCTAAAGAGGAGACTTTAATTACATGTTAAGAATTATTTGGGGAACAGAGGAAGGAAACACTATCATGTAACATGACCCCATTCCCAACCAAATTTGGGACTGAACAGTGGATACAAAACTGCCAGGTCTGCGGCCTCTGCCCACCTTGGGTTCTCTTGGCTACCACCTCTGGCCTAATCCTGTCCTTACTGCTGGCAGGCAGGATGTTTTGAAATGGCGTGGCTGACCCTCAGATGACTATAGCCCAAAGGCTCCATTCCAGCTCAGCTGGCTGCCTGAGAGCATGTCCATATTTGAAGGCTGCCTCAGGCCTGATTGGCAGAAGCAGCTGTGGTCCCTGGAGACAAAAGGCAGCTCACAGGGCCTGCCACTTTCAGCCAAGCCTCATGTGGGGCAGGGCACAGGAGAAAACACAGAGTGCTCTTGGGGAGAAGTCACATCAGCATACCGTCTCCCCTGAAAAGACAGGGGACAGAGGTCAGCCTCACTGTTGGTCACCATGGTTACATGGTTAGTGTCTGGAATTCCTCCTTTAGGCTCTGGGAAGAATATTGCTCAACTCGGGATGGGCTGGGTGTTTTCTTTGTTGTTGTTGTTTTTTTAAGTTATTTATAGTTTGGTATCTAATTTTATGGCTGTGTTTTTGGTTTTGTTGCTGTAGGAGTGCCACTTAGAACCAGTCTAGGCTTGAGGGGCCGAAGGAGTCTAGGAGGACCAGCAGGGATCTCTCTGGTTCTTGCCAGAGGGAGAGGAGGAGGTGGGGGCGCCTTCCCCGAGAAGTATCAGCGCCCAGGTGGCCAAGTGGGAGCCCTCAGAGCCCCACAGTCTTTTCTGTTTGAACCCATGTGAATCTCAGAAACTACCAGCATTCTTTGCCACTTTGTGTTCAGAAGCAGCATAAATTAGCAGCTCTCACCCCCTCCCCAAGAAGATGCCAAATTTGAACATCTCTCCCAGGGCCAAACACATTTCCTGGGTGGGTCAGGGGCCAGTGACCAAGCAGCAGATGTCCCCAAAGAAGCATTTCCCCACTTCCACCCCAAACTGGGAGAGTTCAGTACCACCTCAGAACTTGCAGGGAGCTGCATCCACTCACTAAGGGCTGTTTCTGATTTCCTGGACAACCTCTCTGTCAGATGTGTCCCATTGTCAAACCCTGAGGGCTGAGTTTTGGCTTGGATAATAATGACACGAGAGAAATACAGGGTCTGGGTCCAGCCGGTGTTGCCCTTGGGAAGGGAGCAGTGTGCCCTGGCTGGAAGCTGCTGTTTGAAAAGGTGAGGACTGTAGCATCTGTGGGGTCCATTATAATCACCTTATTTGAGCTGCCGGGTCTCCACCACCATGGACGTCAACCATTCAAGGAGGTCTCCACTTCAGGTTTTCCAATCCAAGAATAAGTTGGGCAAGGAGCAGACTCGAATTTAGGGTCCAAGTGACTCCAGCTCTGAGAACTTGGGGCAGAGTGGGGCCAGGATGTTTCTGGCAGGCCCAGAAGTGCTGGCCGTTTTTTTTTCCTGGCCCCACCCTGCTCCCTGCACTGTTCCCCACCTCCGGTGGTAGGGCACGCACCTCCATCCGCACCTCCATCCGTGGCTCTTCCTGGGGCCCTCCCAGTGTGGATAGCAAACTTCTTCTTTCCTATGCCTCTGGGGCCAAGACCTCCACCCTTGAGCCCTGAGGACAGTACTGGGAATGGACCTTTAGGACTTCTTAGGACCATGACAATTTGTACACTGCAAGCTGACTTTATTTATTTATTTTGTGAAAATGAAGAGACAGAAAATACCTTTACTATTTGCAGGGACTCAAAGCTGTGCCCAAATCAAGAAAGAAAATAATAATAGAAACCATTCACTCACTCCATATACACAAGGATACTGGAAGATAATTCAGAATACAAGAGAGGATCAAGCCAAGAGTACAGGAGTCACGATGGCCCCAGGCCATTGTGTAAGGAGATATCTTGGTTTTCTCTTGGCGATTTGAAAATGCAACATTCAAGTCCCTTTTTGCTGAATTGCCTTTGCCCAAGTATCTGACACAACTCAAATGAATGCTGCCTTGAGGCTCAGCAACCTCTGGAGAGCCTCGGGGTTTGGAGAACAGGGTGGGGGTAATTAATGACTTCACCACCATAGGACCTGGAGTTATGCCTTTGGGGTTCTCCACTTGGAGCTGGGCTTGGGTAGGTGGTCCACCCGGGGGCTTGGGCTCCTCTTCCGGAGAGGCCAGCCCTGGTTCCTCTGTCCCTGATGGCTCCCCCAGGAGCCTTCCCCTCCACAGCATCCACCTGCCTAGACATGGAGCAGCTGAGGCCTTACCTCTGCTGGCTGCCAGCTTCCCCAGAACAAGAGGCCTTTTCAGCAATGAGTGTTTACTCATTTTCTTTTCCTTGATGAAGACCTTAGTCTGGCCTATATAAATAGTTCAGAACATTCCATGCCTTGGTGAGACAGAGCCATGTCAAACAACCACAGGCTGTCTCCTCTGCTGCCTATTCCTGGCTTCTTCTCTGGACCTTGTTTGTAAACCTTGCAGTGGCTGTGGGCACTGGGAGGAGGGTCTTTGTTAGTAGTCGATGGGGGCAGGATTCCCGAGCCCCACAGAGAGGGGAGAAGCAGCGGATGTGCAGCTCTGAGGCATAGTCCCTGCACCTTATCCCCAAGTTGTTACTAAGGCTGAGAGACATGAGCAAAATTTTAGCCTTTTGGCCCTTTATGTGATGCACATACCTGAAAACAACTAAATGAACAGAAAAAAAGTTTAATGAAGGGTTTATTGTCTGTCTGCAAGCACCCTCAGCCTGCTACTGCTGGAAGCTGGTCTAACGGGGCAGACACTGATCCAACCCCAAGAGCAGAGGGTTTCCCCCCCATTACAGTGGCATCTTTCTCTGCCACCTTTGCCATCTGTGCACTGATGGGATGAGTCCCAGAAGGTGGAATGCTGGCCTAGACAGCAGGCAGGGAGAGCATCAGATGGCCTGGTCCTCAGCCTGAAGTTCCCTTCGGGCCCTGGGTGTCCCTCTCCCACACTGGGGCCTACTGTGATTGACTATAGGACCTGTCCCTTGATAGGCCCTGGATTATGAAAGCCTATCATTATGAAACACAAGACAGAATGGCCGCGTCCCCAAGGCAGTCACTTCCCACTTCATCTGCAAAGGCAGCTCCCAGAGGTACGGATTCCTGAGGCAGGGAGAGAGTGGTGGAGGGGAGAGGTCTGCAGAAGCCAAGCGGGGCTTGTTGACTCATACAAACTGAAAGGAGCATCTGCTGAAATCAGGGGTCATATGTTGGTGGGTCTGCTTGTGGAAATTTCTAGGATATGGTCTAGCTAGACATCAGAGAGAAGACCCAGGGGTTCCTAAATGCAGTCACATTGCCCCTCAACTGCCCTGGATTTCAGGAATCATGGAAGCTGCTCTTTACCTCAAAAGGATGAAGCAGAATTGGCAACTTCACGTGACTTTAGAGCTTCAAGATCATTTGGTCTTGTGACCTTTGTCTGCCTGAGGGATAAATTAGTTATGTTTTCAAGGATACAGAAGGTGCTATCCTCGTGGGCCTAGCTCATATCATAACCAGGTATTTTACTGGGGAAAGAAAATGACTCATGTACCCTGCTTCCTTTAACATTGGACTTGAACTGGGGGCCCCCTGAAGTCTCCACCTCATCTGTATGTTCTAGGCCAAGTTTGCCTTGTCCCTGGCTTCCTCCTGGATCCTGGAAACTCTGTCTTTTTGCCAAGACTCAGCCCGGTGTCATGTCTCATGGCCACATGGTATGGCACATTCACTTCATGGCCATACATGGCCATGGTGTGTACATGTGTCCACAGTGTGTATGTGTAGCATACAGCTCATTCTGCTCGGCCACGTAGCTCCAGGCCGCCTTGCCATCAATGTCACAGCTGTCCTTGCCATGCCCTTCCCTCTGCCATTCCTGGAAACTCAGGGGCTGCCCTTTAGAGAGCTGGCAGTCTCCACCAGTCAGGGTCTGCTTTGTGGAACAGAATGTGAACCCATCACTTGATGGCTTACTTATTAAAAATGAAAACATGCAATGAGCAAATCTGAAGTGTGTCTCTTTCTTTTGCATTTGTTCTTAGCAACAATCATAAAAATTAAAGGAAACAGAAATCAACTGTAGGAAAGGCAGGGCCTACATGCAGCAGGGAAACCCCACCCACTCCTCAGGAGGGAAAGGCACCCCAGAAGCATGGCTAAGTGTAGGCAGCGTGCTGATGTCTGTCATGTCACCAGGATAGCAGAACCTGTGGTGACTGCTTGGAGGTGGCTGCACAAACAAAGTCTGAGATAAATACCCAGGCATCATGGAGCAGGATCAAGAACCCTGGCTAGAGGTCCAGGGGCCTGGGACAAGTCCCAGCTGTACTGGTCTCTGGCCCTGAGATCTTGGACAAGTCACTTCCCTTGTTTGGGTCCCAGTTTCCTTTAGAATGAGGGTATAGCCAGTGGTTTACAACCATTGTCCCAAAAACCTTGAATTAAAAATTCAAAAGTTAGCTCTCACCCAGAGCAACTGTGCATTGATATATTTCACATGTTGAAAGAGTGCCTAAGATATCATTTGGCCTTCAACAAAATCTCAAAAACAACATGAGGTTGCTAAGGACTCATTCAGCTAAGAAATTTAATGGAATCCTTTAAAATTGCAATTACATTGCTCTACCAGTCATAATAACTTTAGTTATGATTATTATTAATAAATTATTAACAATACATAATAATAATATGCAAATTAGATTGAAGCCCTTTTGTCTCCTAATAGCCACCAGGAGAGAATGGCAGTTCCCCAGAGAGATGGGAGAAGGTTCATTTGGAACTAGGTAAGACAGAGCGGGTGGAGCTTTGTGGATGTGCAGCAATGGGGGACACAGGAACAGCAACCATGAAGAGGCAGGGAAGAGCTGAGCACTGGGGACAGTGGCCCCATTGGAGTGCCAGTGGGGTGGGGGCGTGGCGATGGTAAGGCATGATATGGGGTTGGGACTGTGCCCCAAAACACAGACCTGTATCTCTGCCATTTTGCCAAGGCCTTGGAAACTCAAATCATTTTCCTCCCAACCCTTAAAATATAAGAGTCAATACAATGACCTCCCAACTTACGTGGAAGTTTGCCACCCCACCCAGCCAGGTGACAGTGTTGTCTCCACTCTTTCAGGGACTGTATATATTTAGTTTAATTTCTAGGCTGTGTTTCTGACCACAAATGACCCCCTGGAAAAACATATTGCCCTAATTATAGAGCAGAAACGCCTGGAGACCTCCCCACCCACTCTCCCCCTCAGCCACCAGCCCAGGCCAGAGCCATCTTTCCTGTCCCCTCCCAGTCCTCTTTGGGCTCCCAAATCTTCATCCAGTATACCCCAAGTTATCCAACCCTGGGAAGGAGACAAACCCCCAACGGGGGCTCTAAGGGAGTGCCGTTGGCTGGATCCATCTCGAAAGTGGTTTGATCAGCAGCGGGGGACTGGGCCCTGTGCCGTTTGATCATGGAGATCTGCCAGGCAGGCCCAGAACTCAAGTCTCCAGCAACATGTCCCCAAGTGTGTTTGGAGGAACTGTTTGACCACCTCTCTGCTCTTAGGAATTTACAGTACACATCAGCATGTTAAAGGCTCTGAGAAGTACTGCATTCTTTTGACCCTGCTTACCAAGCTTTGCTCATAACCATTTTTATGGGTGATACTCTTTCATCGTGAAAACTTTTTTTTTTTTTTTTGCCAAACAACATTTTCAAGACTATGGCATTCTACAGAACAATTTGTAGCTATCAGAAACCTGCATGTGTAAGTAAATCTGACTACAAGTCACAAGAACGTGATAGTGAAGAGGCTGGGGAGAAGCCCAGGGTCAGGGTTCAGGGCCCCATTCCCATAGAACTGCAGGGCAGGACAAGAGTTGGCCTGTGGAGATGGCAGCAGCCTCAGGATCCCCGTGGGTCACAGTTCACAGCCCCAAGGCATCCGTGCTGCTGTCATAAAACCTGGTTGCCTGAAACCCTTGGTCCTTGGCTTCCTCAACTCAATCCACACGTGGAATACCCCTGTGGCATTACCTCAAAGATGTGGTGACCCCCACAGGGAGTGGAGACCCTGGAGAACCAGGCCAAGCATAACATCACAGGATACTATTGATCTAAGAAACTGGAGTTTGGGGGTGATTCCTAAAGGAGCCAATTCTGAAACAGCAGGATGTAGCTTACCTATAGTAAACACGTTCCCTGGAGATATAATTCTCTAATAGCTAGTAAACCCTTTGCTAAATGCTGCTCTGCAGTTTACTGGAAGAACAAGCGAGTAGTAAAGGCTCAGCAGGATAAGCTTGCCCAGGAAAGTCAGAATGAGAGAACAAAGAGAGGGAGGCAGGGAGAGGGAGAGTGACACCAAGGAGGGGGCACTCTCTCGAGGGTGGCGGAGAAGGACAGCCAAGGTGCTGAAAAGCACACCCCCGAGGATTGCCACGGTGTCCAAGAATTAGGGGTTGTGCAAGGTCAGGCCAGGCCCAGGTGCACACATAGCCCTGCATACATCTGGCCATGGTCCGAATCTACCCCTGTGGATGTGTGACCCACTCAGCGTCTGGTTTTGTTTCTGACAATTGGCATCAGAAGCCAACACTTAAAAATTAAGGAGTTTGATATAAAAACCAAATTCTGCTTCATCTTGAAAATCAGTGTCTTGGTTTGAACTATAATTAGATTTGATGCTGAGACCAGGGTTTGAGAGCAAAGGGCTTATGTGGGAGCTGCAGACAGCCCAGCAGGGGAGAAGCAGAGGGAGACAGCCAGCAAAGGGCACCCTGTTAAGCCAGCTGCCACCTTGGGCAATTGGAGCAGAATCTCTCCAGGAAAGAGTATCAGGCTCCTGCCTTGGTATTATCCCACCTGAGCAAGGGGTGAGGTGAGTCCACGTGGACTATTCCTACACCAACCCTTGTCAGCTTTTGGCTGAAGGCTGCTCTTGGCGAGTATAAATTCCCTAGCACAGCCCTGCTAGAGCAGCATTACAGAATTCTGGAAAAGGCTGTCAGTCCCAGAGATGAAGATACAGGCAAATGGAAGTTTCCAGAGCACTGTGCGTTTCCAGAGTAAGGTGTGAGGGTTGGGGTGGGGGGTGGGGTGTCTGTCAGCACCTGCTCCCTGGGGTGATTGGTCCCCTGGAGCTCTATTTCCCACAGTACCACTGGCTGCAGCTAGAGGGCTGCGGCCCCTTCGGCGGGGTGGGGGTGGGGCACTTTCTTCGGTCTCTCCAGTGCTGACACAGCATTTATCACAGCACTTGCCCTCATGTTTTACCTCCAGCAGAAACATCTTCTCCGTGAACCCACAGCAGTCCAGGGTGAGACAGCAACAAGCCAAGAGGGCGGTCCATTCCGGTAGCACCCCAAGCCCTAGTGTCTTCACCCTCCAGCTTAAGGTCCTGGTGGCATGCTGGGGTCTGAGTTGGCTTTCCCAGCAATGCCCATCCTGGACCCCTTAACACTTACACCTGGAGAATGAGGTGATAGTCTAGAAACCATGGGCTCTGCAGAACCTCCCCTCCTTCACCATCTCCTTCTGCACCCACCTGGATTTCTCCTGCCCACCCCTACCTGAGAGCAGCTGCTGCCTACCTGAGCAGGTGGCCAGAATAAGCAGTGAGGAAGAAGACAGGTGGCTTTACCCACCTGGAGGGGGGCTTGGGCCAGCCTGCATCCAGTCCGTACCAGAGCTGCCCTCCCTGGAAAGTTTTCACCTTCTATCTCTCAGATGCACAGAGTGGGTGATGCCCTCGTGTGGGCCACACAAGCCCTTGGGCATGCTGTTGTGATGATCAGTGTGGCAGTCCCCAGGGCTTGGTTCAAATGCCTCCCTGTTCTTTCTCCCCCAGGAAAGCTCAATAGAGTGATCTAGGAGACAGCATATGCGAAGGCCTGGAGAATGAAGAGGACTTGGAGAGTGTGGGGCCCGAGACACAGTTTGCTCCAGCTGAGATGGCTTGGCACAGCGGGCTGGAGAGGAGAGCTGGGCCTGAAAGTGCAGGAGTGGGGCTGCTAAGCCACGCTAAGAGGAGACTGGACTTGATCCTTAGAGCTATAGGGAGCAATGGAAGGGAGGAGGAAAGCAGAGTGGCCTGCTCTGATCAACTGTATCCCATTTTACAGATGAGAAGAGTAAGGCATAGAGTGCTGACATGACTGGCAGTGTTAGGATGTGAATCCACGTCTCATCCTCACAGACCTCTCCATCCCAATCTTTGCATCGGGTCTCCCTTTTGATCTGTTGAGACCCCACAGATACTGTAAATGCCAAGAAGGCACAAGCCCAGAACCAAAAGCTTCCTTCTGGGGTCACACAGAACAAGTCCAACCCCTCCCCTGTGTGCCAGCTTTTCAAAGTCCACCTGTGAGTCTGCTCTTCTTCAGGCTTGAATAGTAACAATGTCCTGGCTGGGTGGCTTTGGACCAGGGAACTGCCCTCTCTGAACCTTGGGTTATTCACATGTAAAATGGGGATAATAGCAATGTGAGGGACAGGGATGTATGCAGGCTACCTGGCTCATGGTGAGCCCTGAATAAACAGTGGCTGCTGTTACTTGAGGCCCTTTACCCCATGCCTGCTCTCTTCTGGACACCTCTCAGTTAAACTGAGAACCAACAAATATTTTGAAGGCTGGAAGGGAGGGCCAATTAGAGCTTATAATGAACCTAGACCCAAAGAGAATGAGTCCCTCATCATCTGTTCCAGGCAGTCAGGCTGCACCCTGCAGGACAAATCCTGAAAACCAGACCTGAACTTGAAGGACACACCCTGAGATGCCCCCTGGAGCAACTCCCAGAGTTTAGATGAGGAAGGACTAACCCTGTCTTTCCTTTTGGAAGTTTTCATTAATTCCACTTCTGTGTTTTAATCTCTTTCCCAATTTGATATTGATTTCTTTAAGCAGTTTCCCTTCTAGGAAAAAAGTGCTCTCTGCCTTCTGTCCGTGTGGGTGGAGAGACTGACACTACAAACCAAGATCTGGGTTTAAATCAAGTCATCCAAAACTTTTACCTGATGGACGGCGTTTCTCCCCATGCTCCCGGCCCCTGAGGGATCGGTTGGCCACATGCATCCCACTTGGCTGGGGAGCAGAGGAGCGGAGGATCAGTGGAGAAGACTTGTCAAGACTTGTCCGTGGACGGAGGAAT